ACCAAAGGATGCATTACATCCGCTTCGCAGATGATTTTCTAGTAGCAATCTCTGGTCCACGATCAGAAGCAGTGAAACTGAGATCTGAATTGGAATCGTTCCTTAGAGACAAACTCCAATTAACACCGAGTATGGACAAAACCCATATTACCCATGTGTCGAAAGGAGTACCAGTAGAAACGTTTATAATCGGATGATTTTGGGTTCTCCTGCATTGACCCGTACATTTCCTAAAACCGTGGTTTGTTAACGGGCACAACTTTAGGAAGTACTGGTGGTTTAACCCAGAAGTATCAAAGGTTTTGGGCTTCGCTCCGTTCGTACAGTTCGTTGTCGTTCACCAAAGGACAAAACCTGACTCTGTATTTTTTCCCATCCAGCTGGATTGTCTTCGAACCGTTTCTGATCATCCATGTGGCAATCACCTTGACGGTTGCTACGTATGTGACGAGGTTCTTCCCGTCACATCGGAAGGCTCGCCTCTTCGGGGCTAAGTTGAATTCAGAGACTGGGGACCAGCCTTCCTCGTATATACGGATCAGACGATTTTTCACCGAAGCAGGGAGAGTAACCGAGTCATTGTCGAACTGTACTGACACAGCATGCACGGATAACCACTCGGCTTGTATGTCGTAAAATTCTTGATTTACGACCACCCGGAGAAAGTCTTGTCCAGATTCAGCTATGCTAGGGGCAACCTCCTCTGGGAGGATGCCTTTAGCATAGCAGTCTTCAATGACACCCCTTATCACCTTCTTCTCCTCCTCCGAGGGAGGGCCAGAGTTTGGCAGCGGGGCTGAAGCCATCTTGAGAGAGCAGACGTGACGCTCTTTGCCTGGCTATGGTGAAGATAACGCAGGTCGATGTGATAAAGCTGGATATACTTAAGCAACCTCGCTGCCAGACAGGCTGCGCATGGAAGGACAGAGTTGCTACCACGGATGTGGTGTAGCGGTTGAGGACTCTACCCAATGCTAAACTGCATATGCTCGTTGAACCGCCCGAGCGAGGGAATGGGAGTTGCTCCTTTTCCGTTGTCGTCCTAAACGACGAGCAGTCCTGTACATTGGGGGCAAGCTATACTTGCACTCGACCATGACCATGCCATGTATACGTGAACCTGGTAGGCCTCAGCAGAGGTAGGGGAGTTGGGCCCACCCTACATGGAAACTAGAGATGGTGGATGCTCGGCCTCGGCAGAGGTAGGGGAGTTGGGCCCACCCTACGTGGAAACTAGAGACGGTGGATGCTCAGGATTCATGGGGTGGGACTCTCCTCCTCCTTCCTAAAGCATGCTGAGTAGCTTTTTGCCTGGCCGGATGGGGACAAATCGAATTGGCTAAAATCCATATATGAACAGTGACTTCACTGGATCTGGACTGGTTTAGAGCGTATCATGCCTTCAAGACCGAAGAAGAAGATGTGAAGAGGCACGCTTCCTTTTCATTCCCAAAATGGAAAGGACAGCCGCCCATGACGATGCGCCGATATGTCTGCTTCGAAAACAGAAAATTCATCGATCACCTGTGCGAGCAGATACTCTAGTACATCGAGAGGGACTACTGGCCTCTCCTGTTCAGGCCAGAGGCCGGGGAGGATATTCGGGTACCGTGGGCTATACGTGAGGAGAGAGGTAAAAATTCCGGGGGTAGAAACAGTACGTAAATTACTAGGACATAGCAAGGTAAGAGGTAATTCCTACTTAATCTGCAGTAATCCTTGTAGGATACTTGCTGGATCTTTTTTCCCCTGTGAGTACCTAAGTGCCCACGTGTATCGGGAGCCACCTGCCATACTGGCCCGAGGGAGGGGAGGGTTGATCCCAAGGGTGGAACATGATTACCTCAGGATTGATCTCTCTCTCTGTCCTGGTTGGTGTCTTGGATAACTCCTTCGTGAAGCTTGTGAAGCAGGATCTTCGAAAACGCCGTGAGAAAGAACGCTGTGCAGGACCAGGGGCATCGGAGGTGGTATGGCATAAGGCGTGGCCGAGATATGGTGGAGAACACGCTTACTGAGCAGGAAGCTCATGCCCAGGGTCGGTTCCACACCTCGCCAGCGGACGTGGCGATGACATGGTTAGGGCGAACCCTAATTCACTGCGGGGGAAGATTTTCCGAGTGCAAATGGCCACCACGGGGATTAGCGCTACCTCTTACCCTCTTTTCCACCCATCCCAACTCTACCTTTTCACACAGCGATCATTTCCTTCCCAGAGATCAATGCTGGCCCCAACCATGACAGGACGACAGGTCAACATCGACCGTATCGTGGAACCAACCCATAAATGCAGTTCAGCCCTTCAAGGGTCACTTGGACCTAAAGAAGATTGGTGGTTTACCGGGGAAGAACTATGAAGACTGCACCCCAGGTGGTTTTACATTATGAACAGGCTCCGAATTGAAAGCAATGGCAAAATTGGGTTCTGCAGATGGTTTTGATCCTAAGCGGGCGAATGTGAGGCCTCTGGCGTAGCCAATCCTCCTCCGCCCAGCCCTAATTGAAGACCGCAGCAGGAAAGAAAATAATAAAATAAAAATCTTCCACCCCTGAGCGAAGGCTGGCGTGGTAGACTTGGAAAGGAAGGCTGGGCACAACCTCTCCAAGATAGTTGCAGAGGCTGGGGCCCTGGAACTCGGACCAGAAGGTTTTCAGTCTGGGAAGAGCCCAGGCCCAGGCAAGGCAGCCACGGTCTCCAGGAAGTAACAAAAGGGAGAAGGCCACAGCATTCCACATATCCGGACGCACTGGCTGCCAGCGCTAGCTCTGGGGAGTGCACACGGCCAGCAGCGCTGATTGAAGAAGGGTGAGGAGGCATTGCAGCATGACTGCTCGGCTCAGTGGCAGTCATAGCTACGCTGAGGTGGAAGAAGGGTGGTGCTGGAGCCGGGATGATCAGGGGAGAAGGACAGCGGCGGGAACAGGCGGACTTACCTGCGGGAACAGGCGGACTTATCTGGTGATGGCCAAAGAGCGCACTCCCGGTGGTCAGACTGCAACATTGTTAGGCAAGAGGAGAGTGGAAAAAAATAGAGAGAGTGTGAGGGAGAGGAGTAGGCTGTGTGCATGGAGCGAGTAGGGGAGTAGGCTGCATTGCAGCAGTATTGATGAGCAGAAGCGAGAAGTTGGGCTGTCTTTATCGCGAGACTGCAGTGTCAGTGTGTTCTCATTTGGTGTGCTCTCGGCTTCATAACAACTCTGCTTTGACTCTGCTCATATATGCTTGTTCAGGTTTGAGTCTTTGCGGCTCGGAAAACTTAGGTTCCCATTGATTGCTTCCTTGCACAACTGATCGTCTGTTTATTCACAGTCACATTCGTGTACCATTCATCCACATGGGCTAGGCATACTGAAGTTTCTTGGCAAAGACAGCCCAAACTCACCTCCAGTGCATCAAAACAACAACTGAATAATGAAGTACTCTGCAACGTCAGGTCCTCCCAGCCAATGTGACCAAATACCCTATCCGCTAGCCTGATCCAGTCTTCTCTACTGCTTGCTGAAGTAGAAGCCTGTACAGTTCCATGGTCATCCCAATGTCTGGACAAGCTATATACAATGCCAAGGCTCTCTTGGCGGTCACTCTGTAGGACACTCCCCTACCTTGCACTCCTCTCTCTCTCTCTCTCTCTCTCTCTCTCTCTCTCTCTCTCTCTCTCTCTCTCTCTCTCTCTCTCTCTCTNGTGAGGTCGCGCGTGTCATTTCGCCGGCGACCGGTAGGCTGGAATCGCATGGCGGCGGTTGTTCGTCGTGGCTGGACGGTTGGACGGCGATGGTCGCCATCACCGTCCACTTCCGTCACGTCTCAACCTCCCCTTTCTCTGTGTGTGCGGGCGCGCGCGCGCGCGTGTGTGTGTGTGTGTGTGTGTGTGTGTGTGTGTGTGTGTGTGTGTGTGACAACGGCCAGTCGTCGGGCGATAGTGCACGCCATCCCCACTTTCGATTAGCTGCCCGAAAGTGACAACTGACGGGGTGAATGTTGGGCAGCCAATCAGCAGTGGGGATGACATGATATGCTCGCAAAAAGGCAGCCAATGGTCAGCAGGGATGACATGTTGACGCGGGCGACGATTCGTCGTCGACTGTCCATGTCTCTCTCTCTCTCTCTCTCTCTCTCTCTCTCTCTCTCTCTCTCTCTCTCTCTCTCTCTCTCTTTGTGCACTGGCCTCTCCCTCTCTCTCTCTCTCTCTCTCTCTCTCTCTCTCTCTCTCTCTCTCTCTCTCTCTGTGTGTGTGTGTGTGTGTCTGTGTGGGGGAGGAGGAGGGAAGCCATGGCTGGCACCAGCTCTTCCTCTGGCACAGGTGGCTACCTGGCGCACTTCCTGGCTGCTGATGCTGAGCATGCATGCCAGCAGCCTCGCACCTACTGCTGAGCCCGAGAAATCTCCACTACTGTCTCAGCCTCCCTGTGTAGGCAGGCCAGGGCATCACTGAACCAGTCAGGGTGGCCTCCAGAGAGGCTGCAGCCTACGGGTACCCGTACTGCCATTCTCAGTACCCCAAAAACAGGCGGGGCAAAACTGGCCCAGGTTGAAATTAGGGCCTACTGGCCCTCAGGAGCCCTGTGTCAGGCCCCCGGCTTCGCACAGCCTACGGTTAGACCCTGTATACGTTCTGCAGCGGCTTTAAACACACATCGCAGAATGGCAAAAGCAGAACTCAGGGCAATCTCAGACTACACCTTTTCTACTCAACTCTGGACGTGACTGTAGTCAGATGCATCCAGGTTTGGCCGTAAGTAATTGCGGTCAGATACATTTAAAAAGGTACAAGTGCAAGTATGCCCTCGTTCAATATCTGAAACCACCAGTACTTCTATCGGCCGCGGGCCTTCCCCGTTAACGCGCCGGGGCCTGCGCAGGTCGGCCAAGGGAAGGCCCGGTCGTTGCCCGGTCGTTCCTTCTTGGCCGGGGCCCGCCAACTACAGGATGTCAGCGAAGAATTGTAAGAAAAAGGAAAAAAAAATACTGAAAAAAAAAAAACAAAGAAGAGAAACGGATCCTATGTCATGGGCGCGCCGTAGGAGAGAGAGAGAGAGAGAGAGAGAGAGAGAGAGAGAGAGAGAGAGAGAGAGAGAGAGAGTGCCGCGCCGCTCCACCACTCTGGAAGTGTGTTAAACGAGAGTGAATCTTTTCCGTTAGAACATGGAAAGATACCCTTTTGTGCATGTCGAGAGTAGTGGAACAAAAGACAATAATCATGGCGATGTATCTTTCCATGTTCTAACGGAAGATTCACTCTCGTTTTGCACACTTCCAGAGTGGTGGAGCTGCGTGCAAAACGAGAGTGAATCTTCCGTTAGAACATGTCAAGACTGTCCTGTCAGGATGCTGCAAGCCACCGGCAAAATTGCACCTCCATGTTCCTCCTCCCTTCAGCCGTTCCCACATTCACCGTTGGGACAATCCTTTGTGGCCTCAGAAACTGTATGAAGTCCCGGAGTTCCACATAACTCGAGTGCTCACTGTAAGGAACCCCATAAATTTTCACTGGGCCCGACTGCTTGGACCTTACTTCTGATAGTCGTGCACCTATCTTTTCCGAATGGGTCCACCCTGTGGGCCGAAAAGCAAGAATCGAGTTCCACTTGGACAAGTATTGACCAAGATATGTCTTCAAGCGTCCTGCATTTATATACCCCATGGGTAAGACATGCACCCCTGCACGGTATGGGTCTCCAATCAAGTGCCGCTCCAGCTCAGGCCACTCAAGCGACCTTAGTGTTCGTTCCCGAAGTCTGTCTGCGTAGACCAAAAGCCCCAAGGCCTCGGCTATGGCCAAGAAAACACGCTCTTTGCCTATACTGTAGGCCCCCACCACAACCAATGTCTTCCTGTTCTGTTGCATGGCTTGTCGAACAACGTCCACCACAAACTTAATGACATCTTCCTGCGACGGGAAACTGTACTTTGGATTGCAGTAGGTAGTGTCAAGGAAGACCGTATGAATCCGCTGCCGCGGACCCCATAGCATAGCAATTCGCTGCCTCATGGGATGGGACGCTCGGAAGTCCCCTGTGTGCAGATACATCTGATCGTTTGGCAGCTTGAAGACAATCATGACGGCGCCAGGACAATGATTAGCATCGAGAAAGGTGACTTGCACTCCATCAACCAGTTGCGTCTGTCCAACCCTAAGACGGGTGATCCACCTACTGTCCACTCGCAAGCGCAGTTCGACAAGGTTGGCAGTTGCAGGCGAGCAGACGATTGGTCCATGAGCCCAACTCTTTGTCAAACCTCCATAATGATCGGCATGAAAGTGTGTCAAGAAGTAGGTCGAGCAGCCAGCAACCGCTCCGTACCGAAAAGCATCAACAGTGAATTGTGTTCCAGGTATCCATTTATAGAAAGGGCATTTCCTCGTCCTCCCTTGATCACTGGTACCGCCGCTCCCACTCCAACCACCCCTTCTCCTTCCGCTGGCACTCCTCTCTTGCCCCCCCTTTCTCACAACTCTTCCAGAAACAACTTCAGCTTTCTCTACCCCTATACCCCCAGCAGAGCCGCCACCTTTCTCGGCCATCAGCACCCTTCCTCTCCGTGCTCTCTCCCCCCAAGAACACCTTCGTCCCCCATAGCCACTCTCTAAAACGTGGTCCCCTACTGACAGCAATCCCACCACATTTGGTCCCGCCGCCGCATTTGGTCCCACCGCCGCATTTGGTCCCGCCGCCCTGGGGATTTTGGAAGCTCGAGTAACTGCACTTTGGCCTTCCGTGTGATTTTCCAGGGCCCACTTTCCTCGTCCCACGGCATATCCGACACCACCGGTAAGACCTCTTTTTCCAGGTCCCACGGCATGGCCGGACCTTACACGGCGCCCACAAACACTCTCCTCACCCTTTTTCGTCGATGTGTTTTCTTTAGGCAGCCCGAAAAAACTGGTTATATTGCACTGAACGAGGGGCTTCCTTTTCGTATCCTTACCAATGCACCTCGTCTCCTCCTCTTCCTCCTCCTCCTCCCCAAGCGGCCTTGCTTTCGTTCGCCTCCGGAGATTTCCAGAACCCCCCCCCCCCCCCCCCCCCCCCCCCCCAGTTTATCATAATCCACTCGCACGTCATCAAGGTAGGCATCTTTCTCAACACCGCCCCACGCCACAACCTCGTCTTCTTCTTCTTCTTCTTCTTCTTCTTCTTCTTCTTGTATGGTGTCTCCTTCTGCTTCTTCCTCCCTCATCAGGGTTCCTCGGTCAACGTTCAGCTGCACTGGTACGTCGGTTATGGAGATCGCTCTCTCTTCCTCCTCCTCACTGATTACATCGTTCCCCATTTCTTCCTCCTCCAGCGCTTCCCAGGACGTCACGTGCTCGCCGGCTCTACAAGACCAAACTTGCTCACAGAGGATGCCCGGCCCACGTACCCTTCTATATACCACCTCCTCCCGCTCTGCAGGTATTACCACGTCCTCTCGCCCCCTCTCCGCTTCGCCTTGATCCTCCGCGCCAAAGTCATCTAGGATTGGATCGCTGCCATCGTCAATTTGACCACGCGTAGTGTTCGAGTTGAACACATGTTCCATGCGGTTCTCCGGGAGTGGAGTCGTTCTTAGGCGAGATGGAGATCGAGATTGCGCTGGTGTTGCTAGTGGTGATGGTGATGGTGATGGGGATGGGGATGGGGATGGGGATGGTGATGGTGATGGTGATTGGCTGGACCAAGTCCACCTCCCTCTCGCAGGTACTATCTCCTCGGGGCCGATAGCAGCTGGCGGGAGCCAGCCGTGCAACGAAGACTGGATGCCAACGGGGCTCGCACTGAGCCTCTCCCCATGAGGTTGGAAGATAGACTTGTCCAGGGAACGGCGGGAAGATGATGCGGCCACTGACAACGAAACCTCGTTTCCCTCCTTTCCATGACAAGCAGACGTACTCGCACTCCGATCCCGATCCCGATCCCGATCCCGACATGCGTCGTAGATTCCACGACCTTTGGCATAAGCCTCGACAAATGGTTCGTTCCAGCCGTACTCGCACCGCGATCCCGATCCCGATCTTGAATCAGTGTCGAATCGATCCAGGTAATCAATCAAAAGATCGCCGGTCCGGAAGCAGTCCGGGGCCAAGAAACTTCTTTCAACCCACAGATTCGCGTCCTGCATCTCGACTTCTTGCTCGTCATCATAATGATTAACCAACATGCTTGAACCTAACTCCCCCTCCTCCTCCTCCTCCTCCTCCTCCTTCTCCTCCTCCTCCACATTCTCCTCCTCCTCTTGCCGCTTCGCAACTGTCGTACCCGACTCGCTAGCCATACCCCACTCCTCCCTCTCCCAAGGGCGCGCCTGCATCTCTGGATCTCCACCTCTCTGCTGCAGGAATAGCTTCGCTGACTTTCTCCCGCTCCGTTTCCTCTCTCACCCACAAACCCACTCCTCCCTCTCCTGCTCCCCGTCAGCTTCTCGACCTCTCTTTCGGCATCTAATCTGCGATCCCCGAGATGCACGTAACGACGATCAGCGACAGCCACGTCGACACCATGATCCTCGGCGATCTCCTCTTCGGCACTATGATCATTACCTTCATCCCTCAGCCCCACTCTCATGCCCAGGTCTCCTCTCTCCTTCTCCGACAGCGACCATGGCGCGCTTCTCCACGCGGCTAATCGGCCACGTGTCTGACGCCATATGCCCTGCCCCTATTTACTATCGATTCGCCAACGCCTGTCGCGGTACACTGACTTGTGCCGATCATCCTTCCTGCTGCTATGTTCGGTAATCAGACGGGCATCCTGCTCGTGGCAAACGATGAACTACCTGTTCATCCTGCTTGTGGCGACGAAGGCCGTTGCGGACCTGTCGCACCATCTATCTACCCCCTCCCTCTTCGCCGATGATCGATGATAAGAGGATGCAGACGAAGGTATGCATGAGCTACGCTGCTTGACAGGACTCAAGGAGGATTGTCGAGATTGTCGAGCTTGGACTCCATGCCGCAAGGGAGATCGCATAGAGGAAACACTCTCTCGTGTCGAGTGGAGGAGAAAGCTGAGCAAGATGAGGAGCACAAGGAGGTAGCGCTGGGCCGCAACAGGCGTTCACCCGCCACCCACAGCCGGAGCCATAGACGGCCTACTAGCATCCGGAAAGGCAAGGCGCGCTGCTCCCCTCTTCACACCGGAGTCGCTGCCACATGATTTCCTCCGCCTCGTTTTGCTCCCCCCTTTCCAGATCTTCGACCTGCAAGACGAGAACCGCTTGCAACACCGTTTAGGTCCCGGAGGGATGTGACGCCTCCCCGTCTCCTCCTCCCTCACCTCCTCGTCTTCGTCCTCTTCTTCATGTTCAATTCTCACTCTTTTTGCCTTTGCCGTCGTCCTTCTTTCCCGCTAACAGCGCTACCGAAAACGTCGCGCTCTCAATGACCGGCGCAACGTTTGAACCTTTTGCCCTCAAGACGTGATCGCCATGCATAGAGGCTCGCTACAGAGGATTTCGAATGTCAGCAAAACACTCGAAAGTCGGCGGTCGACAGTTTACCCCTCTTCGCCACACAGGTTGTCGAGGGGCAAGGTTTTTGGCCATGGCCAGATGTCGAGGGGCAAGGTTTTTGGCCATGGCCAGATGGACTCCGCCTTTCGACAGGGCACGAATGTCAGGGAACAGTCCCTGACAATGCAAATGCAAATTCGAACGCAATTCTCGAAAGGCAGGTGGGGCACTTTCAAATTTCCGTGTCCTGCAGGCGGGAGGAAAGGAATGAGAAGAAAGAAAAAAAAAAGAAAGGGATGGGGGAGGGTGGCTGTCGAGCGTACCATTCTGACACCTGTCGAATTTTCTTTGAGCCGCAATTCTTCGAAACCAGTTTTTTTGTTTTGTTTTGTTTTGTTTTGACAAAAATCAATTTGTGCGCACCTCTTCTAGTACCTCTGAGCCTGTTTTTGCCGACCCTTAATTACAAAGTGCCCCGAATTTGCCAAGCCTGTGTTCCGTGGACCTCGTCGCCGTTGTCGGTTTTTTTTTTTTTTTTTTTTTTTTTTCCGGATACCGGTAACGTTTCCACTTTTGGTCTGTCGGCCTCCAGTACCGACCCAATCACGGACAAAACTTTGGGCGTGTGTGTATGGTCGCAAGGGCCGTGGTTTTTATATTTTCCTGAATTTTTATTTTTCGCCCTGGTTGTCGGTGTGAGGTCGCGCGTGTCATTTCGCCGGCGACCGGTAGGCTGGAATCGCATGGCGGCGGTTGTTCGTCGTGGCTGGACGGTTGGACGGCGATGGTCGCCATCACCGTCCACTTCCGTCACGTCTCAACCTCCCCTTTCTCTGTGTGTGCGGGCGCGCGCGCGCGCGTGTGTGTGTGTGTGTGTGTGTGTGTGTGTGTGTGTGTGTGTGTGTGTGACAACGGCCAGTCGTCGGGCGATAGTGCACGCCATCCCCACTTTCGATTAGCTGCCCGAAAGTGACAACTGACGGGGTGAATGTTGGGCAGCCAATCAGCAGTGGGGATGACATGATATGCTCGCAAAAAGGCAGCCAATGGTCAGCAGGGATGACATGTTGACGCGGGCGACGATTCGTCGTCGACTGTCCATGTCTCTCTCTCTCTCTCTCTCTCTCTCTCTCTCTCTCTCTCTCTCTCTCTCTCTCTCTCTCTCT